TTCTTTTAGAATTTTGCATAATATCTTGATTTTATATCAAGTTCTTCAACTTGAAGTATTCTGCAAATGTTTTTTTTTATTTTAAAGAAAAAAAATATTAACTATATATACATCTGGATCACTGCCATGATCTAGACTCTATGATTTTGGTTACAAAGAAGACAAGTAAGGCATACATTTTCTTTAATATGCCCCAAATTATTGTAAATTCGATCTACTGTCTACTGAAGTATATTTCATGGCTGATCCCATTCAAATTTCATTTCGATGAGACATAATGCACATTTGTCTTCTTGAATACATTTTAATGTGAGGATATAGTCAACTGTTAAATCAAATTTACAACCTTTTTCTTTGTCCTGGCCTATATATCCGATAAGTTTTTTCTGAATAAACAGTCTCAATTTGTGCTTTAGCTGTCTTTTTTTTTATGCCTCCTCAATCTCTTAGGCAATTTCAGGAGGTAATGGAGGTGCTTCAACCTGAATGAGTTGGTTTAAATATTCCATACGACCAACTGCCAAATATATTAGATTATCTTAGGCTAAGTTTTCATCAATAATCCAAACACACTGTGGTGACTTAAAAGTCATCCTCTGACTAGTATGAATAGTCATAGCATATTCAAGTTCCCAATCTATGACTTTTTTATCTGCCAACATATCTTTTAAGAATTTGTCAGGAAGTGTATTTAAGGATAAGTATACTATATCATTTTTTACTCTTGGCCTATAAATTAATGGGATTGGAATTTCAGGATATTTTATTTGATGAAGTTCTAAATATTTTTAGGAAGCAATTCTCCAGGAAAGTATATGTGCTGATAATATGTGATCTGAGGGAGTCTATTCCTTTTCGAGACGTTCCCATTTTTCTATAGTTGGGAGAATTTCTCGAAATAATTTTGATTGTATTCGATTATTTTGTCGACGCATAGCTTTTTTGAGTTCACATAATTTAGAACATTTTGCATGATAATCAGTTAAAACTTCTTCGTAATAATCAGCATGCTCTTTTAACCAATTATGTGGCATTTTTCTGAAGAATGGTGAAGGTTGTGCATCATCATCACAACAAATTACCTGGCATTTATGTTCTAATAAATAATTAATGAACATTTCAAGAATATGCTTAGGAATTGTACATATCTCATCCCAAATAACAACTCATGGAAATTTTTTTTCTCCCATGCGTTCAGGTGTCCACTCTTCCACTCTATTCCATCTGAAGAAACTATGCCAGGTTTGAGCTTTTACATCACGTTTTTCTTAAAAATCTTTAACTAATGCATTTGTATAAGTAAATACAACCATGTTTATATTTTTGAAAATTTGAATTGCACACGTTGTTTTTCCTAAACCACCTCCTCCATTAAGATATAATTTCCAACATCTTGTAATAGGATCATGAATCGAGGGTGCTGTACTTTCAGGAATATTTTTGATCGATTCCCAATGTCTATTCTTTGGCCAGTATACAATATCGCTAACTGGTCCATATATTTTTTTACCTTTGTTACACCATTGACTGGGTTGAATTTCTCGGATTTCTTGTTTTTCTGGTTGATGTGAAAGAGCATAGGAGTCTGGTTTATAAAACCATTCTCCAAAGCAAAATCTGCAAACAAATGGTTTATGTCTTTTGCAATCATATTTTACTAGAGGCCTTTTTGTTTTTAGAAACTCTTTAATCCATTTTGCATATTCAGATTTTGAAATAAATAATTCTTTTGGATCAGTACACATTGCACAAGAAGGATAGTGTGAACATAAATTTGGATCTGACTTTACCTCAACTTGCTCGAAGAATGCCGATATATTTTCGATCTTATATAAAGCCTCTTTTCGTACATATATAGAATCTGTAGCAATCCTTACTACTTCATTAGGATCAAATCTCCAAAGCATCTCTAACAAATTAATATGCGCATATGCTAACATTGAGGTCTGCAAATATATATATTGAGGTTGATGTCCCTCATAATATGTAAGTATGAATCCAAGTGGACATTTTTCTCTTCCGGCAAAAGTTTCAATATCAGTACAATCTTTGATCAAGAAATCAAGCTTACCTTCATCTGTTACAAGTCGATGAATAAGGTGTTTTTTATCAATCTTGTCACCTTGTGTAAACTTACCTATAATTGCACAACTAATATCTCGATTTCTAGGTAGCCATACTTTGGTCTGTTTAGTAAGAGAAATTATTGCCTCTCTAATAGTCACACTTTCTAGAATACCAACCTCAAGAAGATATCGTAGAAGTACAATAGGTGCCCATTCTTTTTCTTTCCCACATCCTTCTCCACTTTGATATGCAAAATGTTTTCTGTACTAGACGGGAATCGCTGAATGTATATTTGATGCAAATTTAAAAGATCTTACTTGCGCAAATCCAGTGATATCATCCTCTGGCAATTTTCCATTTACCGCAACTCGAACAAGGTAGTGTGTTAGATGTCCGAACCTATTGAACCATGGTGTACATTCTCCTTGACCTCACATGCTTGCTGGATAACATTCTTTCATATCGATACATACGACATCATTGACGTGATAATCAGGTGCATTCCAGCATTCACCATGCCCATGCTTGACACAGGCTTGCCTTATATTTTCATTTACTTTTCCAGATATTGAATGCCATTCATTGATTTCATTAGCGAGTCGGCTTCCAGCATGGTTTGTACCAAATACCTGCTCTGCTAAATCAACAACTTTTAGAGACTCTGAAAAAATCGATTTCTTTTCCTTATTGATTATTCTTTCCTGATATTGCCAATCTATTGTATCATTAACCAGTTGTTTGCACGTTTCTATAATTTCTGTATGCTTTTTCCATGTTCTAAATATGCAACCATCTTCTAGAACAAACTGGGATATTGTTTGACTCGTATCTCCCACTCCCATAAGCCAGATTGCTTGAGGTCCTCTGAGAGCATTACTGATAGCTTCCCATGTATCACCCTTATAATATTCGATCATTCAATCTCTTGGGAAGTGCTGGTTTCTTGGAAATGCATGGCCATTATGAACTACTATTCCGATTTCTTCATACTTACCTGATCGATACTTTCCACTATTAAATATAGTACCATGAGTTATATCAAGTAATGTAATTGGTCACTTGAGAATTTTTTCTAATTCTGTTACATCACATACTCGAGCATCTGAAATGCGCATTTTTTTCTCCCAATCATTTATTTTTTGCCGATGAATTTTTGTGAGTCCATGTCCTCTTTTGGCTTGATCAAAATGCTCTATTACTCATTCAGCTATATAGTTAAGTGTACCATCCTTTATAGGCATTAATTGATTGACATCTGGCTTTCAGATTTGATATAATTCATAAACTACTGTATTGGTATCAAGTCTTTCTACTTCAGATTGCTCACTAACTTCTCTGATCAGAAATTTTTCATCTATTTCTATCCAAAATCCTGGTTTCGTTTTCTTTGTAAATATAACATTGGGGCCACCCCTGATGTATTTTCTACCTGCCTTTTTTGATTCACGAATAGGCTCATATTTATCAATAATTTTAAAAGTGATCTTTGTTTGAGATTTATCTCTATATACAGAATCATTTCTAATAAATTTTACTCTTATTAAGAACTCGCCATTGTCAATTGCATTTAAAATTTCTTGGGCTTGCTCTTTGGTTATCCCAGCTTCATATTTTTTGGATTCTATTTCCGCAAACCAGGTTGAGAAAGCATATTCAGCACCATCTACTTTAAACATGTCTTTTGCTGTTTGAATACCCTTTTGCCATACTTCCCGATGCCATTCTTTATCTGGAAATGAAACCGGCCAAGGTACTTTTTTATTTAAATCTTTTGGATCTTTTTCAGACTTATCTCTTTGGTCAATGATTTCAGGAGTTGGGGTTTCCTTCCCCTAGTCTTTTCTTTGTCTTTTTCTGTATACTTGAGTAGTCAGGCCAAATTCTGCTTTAGAATCTTCTTCTATTGGTTGGGATACTTTGGTTTTCTTTTGCCATTTACTAGAAGACTCTTCTATTAAATCAAACTATTCTATATCTGTTTTTGGGACCTTTTTATTAATAATAGTTGGATTATTTTTTATCTTAGGATTCACAAGCCAGTTAACCAAATCCTCTATAGATAAATGCATTGTTTGGCCTCTTTTGGATCTTTTCTTTTCATGAACATAGACTAGAGAAGATGGAGAATTAGATGCTGGTGATTGAGATCTGAATATATTAGGATTAGGTGGATAAACCAGGTTGGGTATTTGGGTTTGCTTACACTTAAATTTTCTGTTAAGATGATTTGTTAAATCATGAGTCTTTTTAAAGTCATTCTTTCTACATCAAGGACATTGGAGTACCATTTTTGATAGTAAGTGAATTAATTCAGTTTTTTGTATTAATAGTACAAAAACTTTTGTTCAAATAATAATTAATTATCCTCTTTCGATCTTTCAATTGGCGGGAGATAGCCTGAAAAAATTTATATCTATCCCGAAAAATTTATACCTATTCTATTTTTTTATATCAGAATTACAATCAGAAAGGTGTTTAAAAGCAAGAAAACAAATTAGCGAACTTAAGATTAACAAGCTTTAGAAAGATAAGAAGACAAATTAGCAAACTTAAAGTTAACAAAAGTTTAGATAGGTAAGAAAATAAATTAACAATCACAATAAGAAAAAGGTATTAGAATTCAATTCCCGTATATAAAAATTTATACCATGATTATAGAGCTTCTAATCTAATTCTAAAGCCAAGTAGAGTAGCAAAAAATAATATATTTTTTATATATGATAGTGAACCCCATAAGGCCCATGAGGATGATCCAGTAGTATTTTTTTTTACATATAAAAGTCTGCTCGCCCTCCCTGCTGCTAGAGTCTCAATGTTCTGGGAAGTTAAACCAAAGAGATTAGATAACCAACCCTATAGAAGCAGCAACAAGATACAAAAGATACAAAAGAAAGAAGGAATAGAAGACCTCGACTCAGAAAAAAAGCATACAAACCCAAAAGAGTATATGAAGAGAAATAAATATAACACAAAACTGAACAATAGAAGAAATAAACAAGAAAACAGAAACTACCAGAACAAAAGAAACAGAAAAGAAGATTCAGCAAGTACAGACCAGAAGGAAAACAGACCAAGAGAAGAAGTTGGAAGTATAAGGAAAGCACAAGAGCAGACATCAGACATGGAAAACATACTAGGTTAAATACTAGAAAGACTAGAAAAATTGGAGATAGCTGGAGAAAGAGCATGAAAAGCCCAACCAGATCACTCCTAACAGCACTACAGTTGAATTAACAAGAATGAATGAGGAAGTCAAGAGTTTTTTGCGAAGAAAAAGAGAAGTTTTTGAAGAAGGAATAGTATCTCCTCATCCAAAAGAAAAAGAACATAGAAAAGAAAAAAGAAAAGCAGTTAATACAAAATTATTACAAATTCAGTTAAGAGAGAAATAGAAAGAAAGGAAAAAAGAGATAAAAGTAGCATGCCACAACATTAATAGACTAAAAACCAAAGGTTGAAAACTGGAAAACCTGCTCGGCTAGGCAGAAGAAGAAGAAATTACAATACTGGGTATTACTGAACCGAATCTTGCAAAGAGAGAAAGAAAATTTTTATTACACAAAACAACAAGAAGATATGTTGGGTTTTGGAATAGTGCAGCAAAAAACAAGAAAAAGGGATCAAGTGTAGAAGTGCTAATAGAGGAACAATAGGCAAAACACGTAGGCACGATCAGGAAGATAAATAAGTACATAATAGAAATTATACTATACTTCAAGCAAATGGAATTAATAATAATAGGAGTCTATATACCACCAAGTAACAAAGAAGTAGGAAGAAGCATCTAACAAAAAATAGTTGAAACTATTACAAAGAAGAATAGACGAACACAAATAATGATTATGGGAGACTTTAATCATATAGTAAACAATGTTCTAGATAGGCAGAATCCACAAGCTGCAAACTATAAACGATTACCATTATTCAGTTGGATAAAGAAACAAGACTTGTATGACACATACAGAGAATTGCACCCATCAGAACAAAAATACACATGGTCAAACTCAGAAACAGCAACAAGAATTGACTACATATAGGTAACAGAGGAACTGGCTTCAGGTCTACAAAGAGCAGAAATCGAGGACATAGAAGAAATCACTGAAAGTGATCACAAGATAGTTATAGCAAAAATATGAATAAGACATATGATCACAAAAAATAGCAAGGCAAAAGTTAAAAGAAAGGACCAATCGAGAACAATATATCTATATAATAAAGCAAAAGAGAAAGAGTGGGAGAGTTATGCATAAGAGATACAGAAGTGATTAGAGATAAAAAAAACTTTAAGAAATATACAAAAAGAAGAACAAGAAGAGAAAAAGAAAATATGGAAAATTAATAAAATATAGGATATAATAGAGGAGGCAATTATAACAGCAGCAAATAAACATATACCAAAGAAGAAGGTTTACAACATGATGATAAACAGAAGACATAACCAAAAAGACCAACAGCAAAGAAAAATCATCATAGAGCTTCAAAGACTAGTCAAGTATGCAAAAACAAAAAGAAAACAGAAAGTGACAGAAGCAGACAAAAGTGAAGTAAATAGAAACCTCAAGATGCTTAGCAAGAAAATAGGCGCAAGACTATCAAATATCCAAAGACAATGGTCTGATGCTTGGATAAAGGATATAAAAGGCTGGCAAAAAATCTTGCAAAAGAAAAGAAAAAAAGAATGGGAACAGAAACAAAGAAAACAAATAGAAGATAATATAAACAAAAGATATGAAATGATCAAAACTGATCAAGGGAAGATGATAGCTAGCCTTTTAAACAAGCCATACAAGAAAGTAATACTTAATAGAATAATCGAACAAACAGAAGAAGAAACTAAACTAGTAACAGAAGCAGAGCTGATTAAAGAAGCAACAGTAGAACACTACAAGAAACAGTTTAGAAAAAGAAATACAAAATTAGAAGAGATATCAGAAAGTTGGAAAGAAATCTATAAACCACAAAACTATATTAAAGAAGAATAGTATAAAGAAATCGAAAAAGAAATCGAAGAAGAGGAATAGAATGGAATAATTAAAAAACTCAAGACAGAAACAGCTTCAGAGATATCAGGAATAAGTTATACCTTAATCAAACGAGCAGAAAGAAAAACTCAAGAGATTTTTAGAGCCTATGCAAACTTGTGCTTAGAAATAGGAGAGATACCAATAAAATGGAAAATAGCACAAGTATATTCAATACCAAAAGACATCAAGTGGGGATACAGTTTAAATAATATCTGCCTAATAGCTTTAATTGAAACATTCAGAAAAGTTGTAACAAAGACAATAACAAAAAGACTTAGCAAAATATTTATGGAGAGAGAAATACTTAAATGACCAAACTATGCAAGTTTACTAGAAAACTCAACAGAACAACCTGTACATGTCTTAAACATGATAATGGAAGAAGCAAAGGAAAAGAATAAAGAGGTGTGGATACTCCTACAAGATATAAAAAAGGCATTTGACTCAGTTTTACTCAAAAGCCTTGAACTAGTCCTACAAAGAGTCAAAATATCCAAAAGGACGATTAAATATATATTAAACCTCTTTCACAAAAGACAGCTTAAAATAATCATGGCATATGGTCTAACAGAAGAAATAATAACAGAAGATGGAATAGACCAAGGTGAAGTAATATTACCGCTAATATGGTGCCTTTTCTATGACCCACTATTAAAAAAGATACAAAAAGATAAAAGCTTAGGCTATATAGTAAAACAAGAGATTAAAGAGGAAATACACTGTAACAACATTACAAGCCATTGCCAAGCAGCAATTGCATATGCAGATGACACAACATGGATTGCAAAAAGCAAGAAACAGCTTGTAGAGATCTTAAAAGTGGCAGAAGACTTCTTTAAAATGAATGATATCAAAATAAATGAATCAAAATCAAAACTGATAATAATGAATAGAAAAGCAAAGAAAGAAGAAAGAGAAATAAATTTTGGAGAAAGCAAGATAACAGAAGAGCCAAGAAACAAAATAGTACGTTCATTAGGAATTTGGCTAAACAACAGAATGCGAGAAGTTTTAGTAAAGAAGAAGACAAAAGGGATAATAAGCCAGACAATAAGAGACCTTAAATATAAAAAAATGATAATGAGCCAAATAGCATATATAAACAATATAGTAATAATACCAAAGTTAAGCTACATGCTACAACTAACAAAGATATCAGAGAAAGAGATAAACAAAATACACCAACCAATGATATGCTTGGCAAAACAAAAAGTGGCTTATTAAGAACGTTAGAAAACTGTATAATAGAACACAAAGATCTTGATAGCTATAGAACCTTGTGACAAGAACTAATAATGAAACAAATAGAAGGTCTAATAGCAAGATTAAACAGAAAAGACGAACTAGAACAACTAACAAAACTAAGAATAATGCAAGGTTGTCAAAGAGCAAGTTTAATAAAAGACATATAGAAAGTAGAAAAACTGCTAGAAGATAAGTCATGTTGGAAGAACAATCTAGCCTGCTTGATAATAGTTAAAGCAAGAGAGTTAGGAATAAATAAAAACACAAAAATCGAACTATGAACAACAAATGGTTACAGTCTTAGAATAATCAAACTAGTAGAACCACAGCTATAGAAAAAAAGTGGACCCAAAATAAGTGAAGCAGGACTCATATACCTAAATCAGCTACTCGATACAAAAGGAGAAAGACTAATAACATGGCAGCAATTCAAGACCTACCAGAACCAGTTAAGCAAGGGCAAAAAGGCAGAGTGGTTCAAAATGATAGAAACAAAAGTGCTCAACAGAACTGAAAGCAGAGAAGTTAAAAAACAATTTAAAACAGACAGATGCAATACACAAGCAATGAAGATCAAGTGGAGAATCTTGTCAAAAAATAGAAGGAAAAAAGAATGAATAATACATAGTGCAACAGAGAATAGGCAAATGGGGAAGATAGTCAAAAAGAAGAAGAAGAAGCTACTAATAGAACATTGGCAAATACATAATATAGAAAATAACTTAATAACAAAAATCGACAAATGCAAGGAGTGTTCAAGAGATGAAAAGACAGAAGAAAATAGCTGTTAATATTGGATAAGAATCAACAATAATATATATACAGTCCCAGATGTGCTAATAGAGAAGAACAACAATATAATCAAGGCAGCTACCGACCAACTAATAGAACACCCAAGAACAGAAGAACTGAAGAAAAATGAACAGAAACTAATAGGATTAAAGATATTGGAAAGTCTAGAAATAGAATTAATTAGGAAACAAAAATTAAGAGAAAATGTTAGTCAAGAGCTAGTAGAGGTCTTAAGAAGAAATATATTAAGAGATAAAAACAAATATACGATATATACAGACAGTGCAGCAAATAAAAGAAATGATGAAGAAGCAACAGACAAAAACATGTGTATAGGTTGAATACAAATAGCTGAAGCACAAAATTAGTCAGAAGAAGAGATAGCACTAGGTGTAAAAGGATGGTCTACATCTACTACAGCTGAAGTGCTAGCAATATGAGCAGCAACCTTAACAATGCCAAAAAAGAAAAAATTAGTTATATTTACAGATAGCAATGCAGCAATTAGGAATATTAGTAAAGGACTAGTGGGTATAGATAGAAACGATGTTCTTAAAAAGAAAAATGCATTATGGGTATTGAAGATAATAGATATAGTGAAGACAAAAAATATACAAATAGAGTGGGTTAAAGTTAAAAGTCATAGTAAAAATAGATGAAATGATAAAGCTGATAGCCTCATAAAGAAGAGAACATTAAGCAGAAAAATAATTTTTTCAGAAGAAGTTAGCCATGAAGAGATAGAGTACTGCCTAGAGTGGGAAAACAAGCAAATAGACATATCGGCAAGACTTCTATGTAAAATAGTAACAAATGCCAGACTAGGAGTAGAGTAGAAAGAAACAATAGTGATCAAGAATATTGAGCCAGAAGAAGTAATGATATATGATTGGACGTACTTTTAGAGAAGGCTAGATTCATCTAAAGAAGTACACTGCCTAACAAGAAGAAGCAGTACAAAAAGAAGTGCTTTCATGAAATGTATATTGAACAAACTTCCAACATTAGAAGAACTTAACAAAAGAAGGCCAGATATATATACAACAGCAGAATGCCGAGTTTGCCAAAGCAAAGTTAAAGAAACACATGAACATTTAGCATCATGTAAGGGACAAGCAAATCTATGGAAAAGGATACAAAAAGTATCTATTGTGACAGCATGGAACAGCTTAAAAGAAGAAGAAAAGAAACGAGTTCCACCTCTAGTATTATATATGGCACTTTTTGAACAAACAGAGCAAGAGGAAATAGAATTAAGAAAAGCACTGATCAAAGGCCTAATCCTAAGAACAATGCAAGACAGGTTATCTCAAATCTTAAGTATGAAAACAAGACAACACTTTGAAACATAGTAGCAGAAACAATATAGAATACATTCTACGAACAAGTCTGGAGAATCCGCTGCGAAAAGGTCAATGCATGGGAAAAAGAAAAAGGAATAATGAGTAAAGAGAAAAAAAGAAGACTAAGGGGAAAAGGAAAGTTAAGTATAAAGAAGAAAAGAAAGGCTAATCAGCAAGCAATAGAAGAAAAGGAAAAGAAAGCAAAAGAAAAAGAAAAACGAATAGAAAAAGAAGTTAGGAAGACAGTTAACAAGCTTGTTATAAAAGGAGAAAGACCTTTTCATTATGGACTTTAAGTAGTTAGACAAGCAGCTTACTTTTGCTAGAAGTAATGCAGCAGGTTGCACTTAGGCGTCATTAGGGTAGCTGGGTGATGCTAGGCTTAGTTGTTAGGTAAATTTATGTAATTACAGTAGTAGTTTCAAAAATCTTAATAAAGCACTAGCATAACTGCTTAAAAAAAAAAATAATAAAAAATAAAATTATATAACTTATTCATATATATCTATTTAAAATAAAACCATTTAAAGTATTCTTTAAGGACTAGTACTTTAGACTTTATTTCATTATTCCTGAAGGCTGATAATATTTTTTACTTTAATTTTTTCATATTAATCTATTTTACCTAGCACAAAAATCTTCTTGATACAAATAAACTACAGAATTTATTTATTTTTTAACATCTACTTTAACTTCAATTAGGTTGGATACTGATAGTTATTTCATTTGAGAATTATAGGAATAAGATACTAAAAACATCACTTTAACTTCAAATTAGCAGAATTGATTAGCTTCTTAATAATATAAGAAGTGGCAGATAGATGTATTATATTATTGCACTAATAAATAACAAAAAAAATTATTATTTGATTATTAGAAGCTTATTCTACTAATCTAATTTTAAAGTAGTATCCCAACCTTTGCGAAGATATAGAGGGTCCTCTTTTGCTTTAGTTAAATCAATAATAATAAATTCTTAACCTTGTAAATTTTTATCAAGTATATCAACAACATTGTGCTATTTTTTTGTATATTGTTAGGCAATGTTAACTAGCTTATTATAGGTACCACTACTATTGAAGAGAACAATATAATCGAGATTTTTTCTTATTAGTTTTGAACAATCAAAGAAGAATTATATAGTATATATATTACTAATGTTTTTATGACACCTTTTAGTAAAGTAATGAGCAATTTTTTCTTGTATTTTTTTAGATTCAGTACACATATCTTCGAATATAGCAACTGTTTCTCTTTCAGAAGAAAAATTATTAACTTTTGGCATTTTGTCAAGTTTCAATGCTTGAAATGTAGTATTTTCATAATATGGCTTTGGGCTATTTGAAATTATTCAGTAACAATCATGCAAATGTCTATATTTTAGTTCTTTGAAATGATGTCTGATCAAAACCAAATTACCATTCTTAATGTATTTTGTTCTATCTTTTTTTTTGCTAAACATTCGAAACATCTTATTCCCAAGTAAGAGACTAATAATCATATTTGTTTTTCCAGATCTAGTTCACCCACTGACTAGTAAATTAAAAGACTACTGAAGACATAAGTTAAGACTATTGAATCTTTTCAGATTTTTGTACTCATTAATATTAAGTATGAATATTTCATACGGATTGAGTTTTTCTACTTTTATTCTGATTAAAATAAGCAATACTAATTATTATATCAAAAAATAATAATCTTTATTGTTATATATACATATTTATTCGATTTTTTATTCTACATAATAGCTAGTCTAATAAATGCAACATAGCAAATCACTTAAGGCTCTCTAATATTTTGAATTTATTTTGTATATAATAAATAACCTTTCTTTTGCAATTTGCTTTTTATATTTGGCAATATATCAGTATCATATAATATTAAAATAAGATCTATGTCTTCTCTTTTGCATATCTCTTGCTTTTTCTGATCTCACATTTTTTGTTGTTCTAGATTGTATTGTCTCTGTTTATGAAATATTGGATTCTGATGAAAATATTGAACACCTTGATACTTCTATGCCAAGTGCAATTTCTTATTATATCCATCTAAATGCAAGCCTTCTAGAAATTTATTCGAACAAGATAGAAATTTTTTATCCAGTAAATCCTCAAAAATATATTGAAATCTGTGTTTATTAGTAAAATATGAACAAATTGGGCACCATTCAAATTTCTGCTTCTGAATTTTATAAGGTGCATACTATTGATAGGTTCACATGTTCAGAGATATACATCTAACCTATTTATTTGATTAGTTTTACCAAGAAACTCCCAATCTCACTTCTTTGTATAAGCTTGTGCTTTAGCTATTTTATTAATAGCACAAATAAAATTAACAAACCTGAAATGAGCATATTCTTCCAATATACTTTGAAGCAGATACTGAAGTTTTTCTAGATCAATTAGCATTAATTATTCATATACAAACTCATGTGTTGATGCAAATTCTCTATCTAAATAATATAAAACTGATTTATTTTTCATTACCACGATTTTGCATAATAAAGAACTTCATACTAGATCTATGGCTTTTTTCTGATTTTTCATACCTCCCTCCTACTCTGTATTAGCAAGCAAATAATGAACTGTATTACCCTTCTTTAACTTATTTTTCTTATTTTTTCCAACTGAATACTTATATTTTGTAGATAGTCTAGATTCTACTTTTTTTAACTTAATGGCTTCCTTGGAAGCTAAATCCTACTTTGAAGAACCTGGAGCTTAGATGAAATGTGTTGAATAATTGTTTAGGTAATCGATAACTTTTGGCAAATGCTTAACTTATGCTCTTATTAGTTTAGAGTTCAAAGTTATACTTTTGACAGCATATTGGACTTTATATAGTATTTCTGCTAGAGTTTTATTGAAATATTTCACAAGAGCTAGACCTTAGTGACTATATGCACTAATTACTCAAATTGTGACATTATGCACTTTTATTAGCTAACTTGCTGATTTTTTAAATTCTGTCTCACTATCACATTGTAACAATTGAGAATAAATAAGAGGGTTATTAGGGTTATCATAAATTTTCCTGAATGCTTTGGCAATTTCACTAGATTTTTTTAATGTAAGTAGGACTGAAGCTTTAAACTGGCTACCTACATCTATTATATTAAGCACTGTTATCTATTTTCTATCTTTATAATGATCATGTGTAAGAAATAAGAGATTGTACTAATGTACACAATTTAGGCAAGTAATTTTGCCATAACTAACCCGTAGAGTATCTTTTGATAATAGTACATGTTTTTGCCATTCATTCTGGTTTGTAAGCCACTTACATACCTTTTTATATAGAAACTAATACCTTTCTGCTTTAAAATCTTTTTATAATTTTTGAGAATTAGAATGATACTCTGTTGGATAATAGAATAATAACTGGCAAACTAGAGCCAATTCCTCATTAGTACTAATTATAATACTAGGTTGGATCATTTTCGATATATTTTACTATATTAATAAATTATTATTTAGTAAAGTTTCCAGAAGCATCGATATATTATAGGCTTGTACAATACTATCAGATACAATAATGTCTCCATCTAGTGAAACAATCAAAAAATTTGAAGCTAGTTTGCAAATAATAAAAAATCAATTTTGTAAATTACAATGGGATCTAGACTTAAAAGAGAATTATATTAAATATCTTGAAAATAATATTTTGATTCGAGATAAAGAACTGAATTCATTACAACAGAAAATTTCTGATATTAAAGAATAGTTGGAAAAAACACTTCGAGATTCTGAAAGCTAAGAAAATTATATAGACTATTTGGAAAAGCAATTAGTAATTTTTCAAGATGAAATATACAAGCTTAATGAAAAAATAAAAATACTTATTTTATATAAAAATGGCAATGATAATATAGATAGATTCAAAGAATTATTGCTTTGCAATATGGCTCAACAATCAGAATTGCCCAAATTATCTTTATTTGAAAATCAAGCTATGATTCAGAATCATAGAATTCAGTAAAAAGTTAATAATATTAGATAGTATTTTCAAAGCTCAATCACAACAGCACCTATATTAAATAATATTGTAGATTATCTTAATAAAATTTTTGATGCAGATGAAAGATTAGAAAAGTTGGTATTAGAAATATACCTACAGGCAAATGCTTGTGCAATTAATACAGAAAACTGAGTAGTAGATTTGCAGACTTAGCTAATAAATTTGCAAACCCAGATAGCTGATTCACAAACTCAGATAGCTAATTCACAGACCCAGTTAGCCACACTTTAAAATAATTATGGTCTTCTTTATCAAGCTTATAGAGCTTACAAACTTAATTATCACTTATTAAAAGCAACTTGTATAAAAAAAAATAAGCATATATCAGAGCTACTTCAAAAAAAATTTGTATTATGTCTTTTAAATAGACAATTTCATATTTAAGCCTAGCAAAACAGGCAGCAACTACAAGATTGTAAGATGGATAGAGCAATTACTATGCATTTTTTAAATCTTACAACAAATTGATACAATAAGTAGAAAAATAAATGCAAGACTCTAGAAAATGATCTATTACTTGCTAATGTTCAACTGAACAACAAGTAGAGTAAGTGGAAAACTCAGGCATGAAATTCTGAGCAATTAATTTTGAATTTAAATCAACATATTTTTACACTATAGAATAATTTACCTATAAATATACAAGCAAATATGGCATACAACCACTACCACTATCAAATTTTTTAGGTAAATATAATGAAAATATTGATATTTTTATTAGTCAATTATCATCATATTTAGCTGGCACTGGTATAGACCTAGTTGCCAATTAGGATCAAGCATTTGGTATTCTTAAAGGGTGTCTATATAGGTGAGCATTAAAATGGTTTGATTGAAAAATTCTTGGAAACAATGAGAACTTCACAATATTTTTGCAAATTATGACCAAGCTGATATAAATGCTCTTTGGAGATGCACTATGGCACAAATGAATACTAGTAATAGCTTTAGAAATCCTTCAATTGCCTATGACTATGCAAATACTGTTGATAATAATGCAGTAACTATAGGTGTTTCCATGATTCCAGCTAAAGCTTTTACTAAAGATTGGCACTTAGCTAGAGGATATCTATCAGATAGACCTGCCAATGCTGTTAATGCAGATAATGCTAATTCTATAGTATTTGGTGACATTCAGATTGGTCAAGCAATATATTAACTTAGAAATAAATATCTTATAGTAATAAGTGAAAAGCACAATTTAGTTTATAGATCATTAGCTCAAAGAAGAGAACCTATAGGAAACTTTTACTCAAAACTCTTAAAATATTGAAAAATGCTTAATCTTAATAAGCAACAGATTAAAGAACAATTTTTAAAAGGTTTGTCTTCAGACTTGAAAGATAATGTGAAATGCATTAGTACTAAGCAACTATTAGCTAATCTTTTTAAAATTTTAGAGTGAATTGAAATGCGAAAAGCAGAAAAAAAATTAGAATTAGTTAGTAAAATATCCCAGTCTAGTTATAAATTGTTATTTAAATTAATAACCTCTACATAATCCTAATCTGTTTCTTCACAATTAGCTCCTTAGCAAATATAATCATCACAATTATTGCAGATACTTCAATCTTATTATAGATCACAACCTCCTGACATATATCAAAAAATGCAAGATATAATAATAAATAGATTTGTACAATGGATTACTGAGAAGATTTCAGAATTTGTTCTTATCTCCAAGCCTGATTTGTCTCCAAAACCAGTAATAAAGAAAGTTAAAGTTGACTCTAATAAAGAATTAGCCAATCTTACAAAGAAGCAGTTGAAGTTGCATATAGCTAAGGCTATTAAAAAAGCTATGAAGGCACAACACTATTGCTCAAATTGTAATAGAACTGAACATAACTTCCACAACTATAAATATAAAAAATGAAAGTCAAAGAAGAAAGGTAAAGTTAATTTTGCTATTGTGGATTCAAATTCTAATTCTAGCTCTTCTAATAATAATTCTGATTCTGAATCTGATTCTGAAATAAGCTCTGAAGAATTTTTAATTGAATCAGATTATAGTATTAATATATATGTCTCTAAAGCAAAAAAAAAAAGTAAAGTAAAAGAGCAAATTGTCATCTAAAAAGAATTCCAAAACTCATAAGACAAAACAGTAAAATGCTTTTACTTCTAGTAAGTTCCAAAATAAATCAACTGTTCTTAAGCAAAATATTTGTCAAATTTTATTGAATATGCTTGAAAAGGTTTTATTTCTACACCAGTTAAAGAAACTTAAACTGAGAAACAAAAACTCAACTATTTCAGATTTTACAAATTACTAAGAACTAGTTTCAGAAATACCTGATAAGGCAAAACCTTAAATCTTTGATTCTTCGAATAGAAAAGATAAAATGCTAGATAATCCTATGAAGATAGATTTTGTTCAAAAAAAAAATCTACTACAAGCCTTGTAACTATAAAATATAAGATAAAGCACTTAAAAATTCCTGCAATGCTACTCGATAGTGGTACTGAAATAGCAATTATAATAGAAAATATTGTTAAATATGTGAATGCGTAAATAGATAAATTAGAAAAATATAATCTAAGTGGTATTGCTACTATTTTAATTGAATCTATTGGTATTATACATAATTTACCTATTATACTAACTTCTGATTGTACCATATATGAAGATTTTGTAATTGTAAAACATCATAAACCAATATTAATATTCTCGAATCCACTTCTTAAGAAATATAAATATACTATAGATTGGGGTAATGTTAAAATAAAGATTTACTATAATGACAAAAGATTTATTATCTTGGTAACTATGCACAAAGTCAAGAATAAACTTGAAGTAAACTATGCAACTGTGATTTAGGATGAGACAAAGTCACATTAATTTGCAATAATTTGACTTTTAAAAAAAACGCATGACCTATGAGGAGTTAGAAAAAATACTATATAGTACTATTGAGTCTAAAGCTGAAATAAATAATTTTTGTAAAAAGTTGCAAATACATTATGAAAAGCTACTTAAACACATTTTCTCTAGAGATGATAGTAATAATAAATTAAATAGCTAATAGATGATTCATATTCCTTTATTTTTCTCATCTCTTCTGACTTCTTTTTTATATAATACATTCAAATCCTTACTATTTATTTTTTTTGTTTTATTAAGTGTAGATATTACTACATCAGAGTTATTAGTAGATATTTAATCAGATATGCAAACAGATTTAAACCAAGATTTGGAACTTTTTTATTTTATTTCTGCATTAAGAGAAGTGATAGATTCTGAATATAAAGTCTTTTTTCGATTTGATTAAAATTTTTAGATAAAATTGCTGTAGATATAAATAATATTTTAGTGAAAATAGTACTTTCTGTTATTTGTTGTTGGCACTTTTAATCTTCTTATATATCATTTACTCAATGTTCATTAATATAGAAATCTTTCACAATTCTATACTTAGGTATTTTATCTTTAAGCAATCTAATTATTTCTATCTGCTCAGAAGTTAGATATATAAATTTTCGGTGATAATATGATTTTAGAAATGGTGTATTCATGGTTTGATTTTTATCCAATATTTAAAATAATATTTAATATTTTAGAATAATAAAAAATAATATCTATTATTATAAAATAATAAAAAATAATATCTATTATTATAGATGAATGAGAAATATTAGCGTAAGCAAGTCTTTGGCTAATAAAAGAACTATAAAAATAATTATTATATAACCTAATCCAATAATATCTAATATATTTTTTTAATAGATTAGGATATCTAATATTAAACATTATTAGATAATAATAAAAATTATTAACAAAATTAGTTTTATTAATAATTGTATTATCTATTAATTAGTGAAGCAAGTCAATATAGCTAATGTATATACATTTCAAAATATTAAAAGTTATCAACTTGGTAGTATATATGAAAAAAAGCTAGAAAAAAAATATATAATGCTATCAAGTCCAAAGCCAAAATTAATAAGCTTAGTGAGAAATTGCAGAATAAATACATAAAGCAAATAAAAGCGTTTAATCAAGAAATAAAAGGGTAAAATCAGAATTCGTTATGAAATAATACTGAAATTCAAAAGTTACACACCTATGCTTTGCAGATTATTAATAAGCATAAGCAAATACAAAAAGAAAATACTAATCTTATTTCTCATAACACACAAAAAGATATTTATATTGCTGAATCCAAGGCTAAGAATGTTACAAAATCCAATAAAATTAAATCACTTGAGTTTATAATTAAGATAATAGAAAATAAGTTGTCTTCAGCCCAAAAAGATATGATTTCGATTCAAAATAACTCTTTGAAAAAAGAAACTAAGATCATGTTTCTCAAATCCAAAATAGCTGAATTAGAAAATAAAAAGAATGAATTGAAATTGAAAACTAATCAGCTTAAGTGTCTGAAATTGAAGATTATATTAAAACCCGTCATTGGTAGTGATAATAAAAAAAATATTACTAAGTCTGATAATATATCTTTGGGTTGTACTAATTTCAGTAAATATTAGAAAAAGCAATTATTATAGCAGCTAGTAAGCATCTTCCAAAGAAAAAGATATACAATACACTGACAAATAGAAGAAATGACCCAAAGAAGTGACACCAAGAGAAGAACATTATAGAGCTGCAAAGATTAATTAAACAAGCAAAAACAAGAGAAGGTCAAGAAGTAACAAAAGAGAAAAGAAATAAGAAACTATGAATAATAGGAGAAAAAAAAGGTGCAAGGCTACTCAAACTACACAGGCAATAGTCAAGCGCCTGGATAGAAGACATAAGAGGCTGGCAGAAACTGTTACAAGAGAAGAAAAGAAAAGAATGAGAACAAGATCAAAGAAGACAAATAGAAGAAAATATAGACAAGAGATGTGAAATGATTAAAACAGAACAAGGGAAAATGATAGCCAGTCTGTTAAACAAGCCCTATAAAAAGATAACTCTTGATAGATTTATTGAACAAGAAGATGAATCAATGAACTTAACAGTAGATTCAAAGTTAGTTAAGATTGGTGTAGCAGAACATTACAAAAAACAATTTAGAGCAAGAAATGCAAAACTAGAAGAGATGTCAAAAAGGTGAAAAGAAGTTTACAAGCCACAGGAATACATTAAAGAAGAATGGTATATAGAACTAGAGAACAGCATTAAAGAAAAAAAATGGGAAGAAGTATTGAGAAAACTTAAAATAGGAACAGCCCCAGGCATATCTGGTATAAGCTATATACTAATTAAACGAGCAGGAAAGAAAACACAAAAAACTTTAGAGCCTTTGCAGATCTCTGTTTGGAAAGGGAAGAGATACCAATCAAGTGAAAAATTGCACAAGTTTATCCAATACAAAAGATGAAGAATGGAAATACAGCTTAAGCAATATTCGCCCAATAGCTCTAATCGAAACATTTAGGAAAATAATAACAAAAGTAATAACAAAAAGGTTGCCAAGGTGTTTATGGAAAGAGAAGTGCTTAAAGAACTGAACTATGCAAGCCTACCAGGAAACTCAACAGAGCAGCAGTGCATATCCTTAATATGATAATGGAAGAGGCAAAAAAAAAGAACAAAGAAGTATGGATATTGCTACAAGATATGAAGAAGGCATCGATTCAGTTCCTCTTAATAGTCTTGAAATGGTATTGCAAAGAGTCAAAATCCCTAGAAGAACAATAAAATACATTTTAAATCTTTTTCACAAAAGACAACTAAGAATAATTACAGCTTACGGCTTAACAGAGGAAGTAACAGCAGGAGATGGAATAGATCAAGGTGAAGTAATATTACTATTAATATGGCGCCTCTTCTATGATCCATTGTTAGAGAGAGTACAAGAAGATGAAAATCTAAGATATATAGTTGAGCAACAAATTAAAGAAGAGACACAATCAATAATGTCACAAGATTCCGCCAAGCAGCAATTGCATATATGGATGACACAACATGGATTGCAAACAGCAAAAACCAGCTATTAAAGATCCTAGAAGTAGCTGAAAAGTTTTTTAAAATAAATAATATAGAGATTAACAGATTGAAATCAAAGCTGCTAGTGATGAACACAAAAGTTAAAAGAAAAGAAAGAGAAATAGCCTTCAGCAAAAGCAATGTAAGAGAAGAGCCAAGAAACAAAATTGTTCGATCACTTGGAATTTGGCTAAACAACAGAATGCGAGAAGTGTTAGTTAAAA